ATGGAGAAAATTGAGAATTACGGGTAGGTTTCCGATTTTTTCGCGTCTGATTTAGAAAAAATGAATTTTCTCAGCACAGAAAGGAAAGAAAACGAAACGGATACGACATTTTGTTCAGGGTCACGTGACGGTTCGAATGCACTATGAAAAGTGGCTCCATCTCATAACTAAAAAGAGTTGATAGAATTGCGAGCGGGACAAGATCATTTTCGGTTCCTTCGGAAGAACCGATGTCTCTGTGGGCCAAGTGGTATCCGAACACCGTCTAAATGACATTTTCCAATTTAGTTTTTCACACTGAATACGAAGAGAAAAACAGAAAGTTATACGACCTCATGTAACTTTGAAATATCGATTTTATTTGGAAAAGAAGGGGATTTTACTCTAAGCTAATTTTCCAGTTTTTCGCCAGTTTTTCACCACAGAAGGATTTTGAATAGGTGAAACACATATCCTGAATCAGCTCGATGAGCTCTATCCAATCCTGTATAATTCATCGAGAATAAAGGTTGTGCTCCTTCGTTGAATTACGGGCACCTCACATCCGAGAAACTTTTCACTGACAAAAAAAATATCACACTTTAATACTAGCAAATTAATAATAGTTAAACTTTGTGGTGCTGAAATGAAATGGAGTTCAAAGTTCAAAGGAAATAAATTACTATCTGCTTTGAAGAAGGTATTCTAGGAGAAAATCTCGAATCGCTTCATGTTCTCGAAGAAAATACCGAGTAAAACATCATGGAATCTAGTTGAAAAGAGATTAAGCTATCGGAAGAAGGGTGTTGTAAAAGAATATATTTTTAGTGTGTTTTAATTTTTATCTCGCGATAACACACGCTGTTTTACAATGCCATGACAACGTGATACATTAATTGTTCGATTATATCCCCTTATAATTTTTGTAACAAGAAAAGTATGCGGATAACACACTTTATCGTCCAATATAAAAACAGACTCTAATTTATATTATTAAGGCAATGAAAAAATCTCATCGGTACTTTTTAAACAAATGAATTTTATTTGATTAAAGAATACATAGTAAACAACGATTTCTGTTTTTAAACAAATTCTCATGAGAAATAGTTACGCGTATATAAAACTCGTTGATATGTCTTTTCTTCATATTTTGTTTAAATTTGAACGTAGGTTCTAACACCCGAAAAAACGTGGCATACAAATCCACAATAAGAACAAACAAATAACAACTGATGCAGGGGTAAAAGAAATCTTTCTTTTTTATACAGAACAATCATTTGATTATTCTTTTCTTTCAGAATGCAAGTTAGTCTTTTCTCACTTATATTATTTGTTAGTGTCCACCAATATGCATTACCATCTCAAATGTATGTCTTTCACTCTTTTGCTTGTGATGTTAAAATTTTGTTTCTCTTTAGAACATGTAACAGTGTAGGTTTTAACAAGTCATCATCATCCTGTTTTCAAATTTATGATAAAAAATTTCAATCAATTCTCGGTGCGAAACCTGTACTAAAACTATTAGCTAAACGAAATTACGCGTTTGCTCATGAGGGACCTGTTTGGCTACCACAAACAAACTCAGTATTATTTGTAAGTAATAGACAAGGAAATTTAGCAACAAGTGATCAATGGATTGATATCTATACAATTAATCTTGAAAGTGGATTTGTTAAAAATATAACAGAGAAAATATCACGTTTAACGGGTCATAATCATTTCATGGCTAATGGGGGTACTGGCAATTATCAGAAAAAATCAATTATTCTCTGTTCTCAAGGTTATCGTTTACACGGCGGTTCAATTTTTGAAATAACAAACAAATTTGATCGTGTTCTGTTGACTGTGAAACAATATAATAATTTAACGTTTAATAGTCCAAATGATGTTGTTATTTCACATAAAGATAAATCAGTATGGTTTACTGATCCGGAATATGGCTTTTTTCAAAATTTTCGTTATGGAAAGCCCCAGTTGGGTAATAATGTTTATAGAGTCGATATAGATGGAAATATCCAAATATTAATTGATAATCTTAGTAGACCAAATGGTATTGCATTTAATCCAGATGAAACAATTGTATATGTGACAGATACTGGTTATGCAGTTGGAAATGGTTCGTTGGATTCAAATGTAAAACGTGCTATTTATTCATATGAAATATATCGTCATGAATATAAACCTATTCATCTTTATAATAAACGTTTATTCGCAATTGTAGACGCGGGAATACCGGATGGAATTAAAATTGATCAAAATGGTCATGTGTATGTTGGTTGTGGTGATGGGGTAGAAGTATTTGGTGCTAATGGTAAACTTTTAGGAAAAATTATTCCACCAAACTCAACATCTGGTGTGTCAAATCTTGTTTTAGCAAACAAAAAATTAGTTCTTCTAGCTGAAACAGAAATTTGGACAGTTGATTTACAATGTCAAAAATGTGGAACAACATTAACTCAATATTGATACTTTAATTGAATTCATAAGTTGCGTGTAATTCATAAATTAAGGAAGATTTTTTTCTCTTTTTTTGTTATGGTTCGACAGAGCGCGTCGATTTACATCGGAAAAATTGTCAATTTTAAATTTTCTAAAAACATTTTCATATGAATAAATATTTCAGAATATTAAAATTTAGAGAAATAAGCAAAATTCCAACCTTTATCATTATATCTGTCCTCCAAAGCTATTCTTTTCGGATTCTTCATTAAAAATTGAATATTAAAAAACTCAATTTGATCGAATTTAAACTTGAAGTGACAAGAAAATTATTCTGACACCCACAGAACGTTTGAAATGAGCATAGTGCAGCTTGTAAACCTGTCTTGTTGAAAGACCAAGCGTTCTTTCCTATTTCATTCTGATCGCTAAATCGATGAGAAAAAAGTATGCATCTGTTCTAATTTTGAAATTTGCAAAACTCAATTTTTAGATTAAATTTTGCAAAAATTTAACGTTAAAAAGTAGTGTTTTGGACTTTAAAAATCGAGTTTAAGAGCCAGCGGCGTAACCAGGATTTTTAGACCAATGGGCAAACTTCTATTGTGTCGGAAAAAAACGATGGACAAAATGGGCAAGGTTTTTGTTGGTGGGCCAAAACATTTGTGGTCCAAAAAGAACACAAAAAAATGAAATGAGGTTTTTTTTAATCAAAGATATGCATCAAACTCAAATTTTTACTATATACAAACTCAAATACATTTACTGTCTAATTCAAAAATAAACAAATAATTTTGTCTATCCACACTCTTACATATATCCTACTAAACGTTATACGAAAAAAACTTCATGCGCATATCTCCCAAGTAAAATTTCAATGGACAAATCTCCAAATGAAATGGGCAATTGCCTATTTGCCCCCCTTGGATACGCCGCTGTTAAGAGCCATCTCGTATAAGCGACGACGGATAATGCTCAAACGTAACTCGTTCGAACGAATCATAAAAAGAAATATAGACATTTCTGAGTAAAATGGCTTTTTTCGGTTCAAAAATTTGCACTTGGCGTCCAGTCTGTCGGAGCCGTTATATTCGGTCCCATATCACACGGTCTCGTTTTACTATCCCCATTTAGTAAATTATTTTGCCCATATACTACAACGGAAGAAAACACTTACAGAGACATTGATTTCATCAATAAGAAACGTTGGGCAAAAATAGTTCCTTTCTCTGGTCGCAGTCAGAGTTTTTGGAACCTTCCAGTACTTTCTCGGAGTACGAGTACATGAAGCCTCCACTGTATAACTATTTTTTTCTTAGTCGTAATATCTTCAATCTTAACAAGAAGCTCAATAGACTAAAATATACATACTTTTCCCATACTTGTTTCGTTCTGCTTCATGATACTTGCATGTGTAAGTTTTGAAACAGTGATTTCATAGCACTATCGTTAGGCAGTTCTTGAGGACAAAATATGTCTTTCATCGTTAATTCACTAAACGTTGTTTGAACAATTTCATTTAATACTTAAAAACCAAAAATAGACAATGATAGTGAATTATTGTCTTAAGAA